ATATAAATGCCGAACGGCTCTGCCATCGCTGCATGATAGGAAGCAACAGTATTTGGCATAAGATGCCGATGGAGAAAAATTAACAACACCTAACCCAGGGCCAAGACAGAAAGCCCAAGAGCCCTGACTTACCCCAAGGACGAGGACCATCACAAGCGAGGAAGCCCCCTAATGGGAGTGTTTCCCCAATGCCCCAGGGAAGGGAACCCTGAACGCACAAAGGCAGTACTTACAGAGCGCACAGGGAAGTTAACCCTGAGGTCATGCAGTTTCAGAATACTAAATCCCAGGCCAATGCAGGAAGAGCCTAAAAAAGCAAAACACCACCAAAACAGGAAATCACGACCAGAGCGCGCAGATGACCACCAGGTACAAACATTAATCAAGAACTGACTGGTGGCGGCCCAGCTTTCCCGGGATGGCTCCCCTCACCCCCTAATGAGGGGGATGAGGTGGATTTAACTAGCGGGGGTTTAGTTGGATGAAGTTTCGTTTGTTTGTTTTCTTGTTTGGGGAGTTCTTTTGATATTTTGAGGGTGTCGGTCTCATTTTTCAACCATGTTGTAGTCTGGTTTCATTTGCCTACCTTTCTGGATGCTTCCCTGGTTGATGGCAAGATGATAAAAGTTAAATGTAAAGTGTTCATGAGCCACTGCTCCCTGCGCCTCTGTGACGGGGTGTCAGGTTCTGGTTCATGGTCCCCGGTAGGCAAACAAGAACTCTGTGATTGATGAGACTTAAGTAGTATGGAACTTAATCAGTAAGCTAGCTTCTGTGAGCCAATGGGGCTCCAAACAGAAAATATATTAAATGTCCACAGCAACCCTCACTCCCCTCCGTGAGTGACCATGCCCAGATATTGTGTCATAAGCGATTAAGATTTGGTGTCGCCACTGGGAATTCATCACTTCATTACAGCTAAAATAAGTGAAAAAATTTATTTTAATTTTCCCTGTGATCAGGGAACACATTTTAACTAAACAAGACAGCAAAATATTCTTTTGGATTTTTTCTTGAGCAGACAGGAAATGCATCCTGAAAGGCTTGCACAGAAAAGGGGTTAACCCTTAAACTGTGCAATACATACATATATGATTTGACATAACATAATTTAACATCAAGTTTCTGTGGATCCCCTCCCATGTTGGAATATGTGGGAATGAACGAGCAGATGTGCTGGCTGCTGAAGGCGCTGAAGAAGACCATATTGAATACTTCATACCCAAGACTCGACTACAAATTAGAGGTATTGTCAGGCAACATCACCGTGACAAGGTAACTGAGGAAAGGAGGATAGAAGCACAAACCAGTGAATCTATACGATGGTACAACATGGTTGCAGCTGGCAATCCCAATCATTATGGTCGAAGAGGAGGAGGACGAGGGAGAGAATCAGTAATAGCGAGAATCCGTCTTGGATACAAATATCCATGGAGATATGGAATGGAAACAAGTTGATCAGCGAAGTTGCAGAATCTGTGGTGAGAGTGATGGACACCGCCTTGACCACTATCCACGTGAATGTGAACACCTGAGATATCAAAAGTATGTGTAGAATAATAAACCCCACATTGTTTGAGTTAGGAAAACACTATTTGTCAAATATTGATACTGTTCTTAAAAGATTTCCCTGTTTTGCACCCGCAAGATAACATAAGCTTTTAAGGGTTGATAGATGTTAATCTTCTTGTTTGAGGAGCTGTTCACTTGAAACAGTTAAGCAAGTCCCAGCTGTGTCTGGGTACAAGTGACAGGATGAACAACCCAGCAGGTTTTCTTCCTATTGGGGAGTGCTGTACATGCTGCTATGGCGGTATGTCCACTCACAAGATGAGTGGCGCTGCCCAATAAACTCGCCCCTCGGGGCAAAATTTAAAAATTTAAATAATTTAACATTAGTTTTTAAAACTTGCACAAACACTTTCCAATTTTTTTGTGCATAATCAACTAGGCAAATGCTCCAACTTTGTCTAAATGATCACAACATAACTTGAAAAAGAAGAGAATGAAAATTAATTTTAAAATTGAATATTGAAAACTTCAGATTTTCAATTCAGAATAAAAAATATGAACTATCACCAATTGTTCATTTAATGTTATTATTCTCTCAGAATTGCGTATGATCTTCATTTTCATAAAATTAAAATACAGTATAGGTTTTCAGTATAGATTACTGTAAAAAAAAATTGTCAATAAGGCATTTGAAATATGCGGCAAATTTAGACCAAACAAAATTATAACTCCAAATGTATAACGTTTATGAAAAATCCATTATAGAACAGACAGCTGAGCACACAAAATGTCAAAATAGTGAGAATAGGTCAAAAACTGGAATTTTAGAAGCCACTCAAAGTTGAAACTCTAGTTTCTAGTTTCAGAGATAACTGAAGTTGAAGTTATCAACAATGAATAAAGGTAGTTTTAATTCGTTAACACCTCTCTCCGATGATTCTTATATGCAGTAGGCTAACAGACAGCAAGGCGGAGGTAGACGGTGAGTGTCACCCTGAAACTAGGAGACAGAGCAACCTTCAAACTCGCACAAGGCGAGGTGGGACACAGAGGTCTCCTACATCGGACCACTGAGCCCCAAAGGGGGTTTCCAGGGCCCTTAGGTTGACTGCTAAGGGAAGCCCTGGCGAGGTACTGTACTGCTAACCGGTTATCCTAGAGCTACCAAGCAAACAACTAAAAGCTGAACCCATGCAACGTTTGCACGCACAGGACCTAGTGGAGGGCCACCGAAATCACACAAGTGGTCCTACTGCCACACCAGGCAGACCCCTGCCAGGCAAAACAAAACAAAAACAAAAGAAAAACTCCGCAAAAGCACAACGCGTCTAGGTGAACAGAACCAGTCGCTATGTGTATATCAGACAGCTGCACAGTACCTCGCGCCCCAGCCAGCGACGAATCTACCTCCTACCCAAGGGCAAACAGGAGTAAGAACCTCCCCAGTTGAACCCCCAATGGCAGGCAATCACCAAGCAGCAACAGAACCACATGGAGGTAGCTGCTCCTGAATGGCTCATGGAAGGTAACCCTGAGGCAAAAAAGGTGTGGAGGTCTGGGACCTTCCTGTCCCCCCTCCTGGGTAGGGGGGGGTGTTGCAGACAGATGCGTGGCGGTTGTGGTGACGTCATATTTGTTTCCTTGTTTTTAATTGGGGAGTTCTGTTTGCTAGTTCGGCTTTCGGTTTGCAATTTTTGACCAGCATTAGTTTGTTCTGAGATTCCTACCTTTCTGGGTGCCTGACCTGGTAGATGGCAGACAAAGACTGCTTCTAATTACACGGGAATGTCTTTAGGCTGAGGCTCCTCGTGCCTCTTTTGAGGGGGGGCCAGGTTCTGGCTCTGGTCCCTGGTAGGCTTAGAACTCCTTCGATTGACTGTTGCCACAGTCTAATATATACACATTAGCCCGGTATAGCTCCGGGAACCTAAGGGGCTCTCCACAGAAAGAGGCGTTGACAGAGCAGGCGCCAGACAAGGTCTGCTTCGCCCCAGCTGTCAGGCGGGGGTTGCCACAAAGATATTATTATCTAATTATTTCAATGTCTCTGATTTTTTCTTTGTTTTTTGCAGTAATATTATTCATTAGTGTGTAGTGTGATATATTTATATAATAAAATGTGTGAACCATCGATGTACTCAAAATTATTGTGTTCATATTAGTGAATCAATTATTATGTTCCTGAAACAATAAACAAATAGTTTTGCTGTTATTACACTATATACACACATGTTATATATACGTATCTGCATGTTTTGTTCACCATAATGAACCACTAAGTTGGTATTGTGCGTCAAAAAGCAACAAAGAGTGGCCTTCACTCACCAAGCAGCCAGCCACCCGCCATCACTCCCCACTCACTTCGTCTCTCGCCAACATACTCCTCCAACGATACTGTTTTTGTTTTTATTCACTATACACAGACATTAAATATGAGTATCTACATGTTTTGTTCACCATAACTGTATATCTAAAGTTGTATGGTGAGTTAAAGCAATAAAAGACGTAGCTACACACACAGTCAGTTGGTGGCTGCGGCCGCCACTGGTTCAAGGCCAGACGCACTAATATTTCTCCTCCAACAATACTGTTTGTAGTGTTATTACACTATATACACACATTATATATAAGTATCTACATGTTTTATTCACCATACCTGTACAAATAAGCTGGTGTGGTGCCAAAAAACCATACTAGCCACCAGTAAACAACATGACAAGTCATGCAGATGACGCACCTTCCTCACCAGAATGGCGGCTCCCAACATACTCCTATTGCTGTTATTACACTCTATACACACGTTGTATATAAGCATCTACATTTGTGTTCATCAGAGTGAAAAACTAAGCTGGTATGGTAAGTCCAATCAATAAAAGGTGGCCACACACAGTCAGAAGACGACGTCACCACCCTCCCTCCCTTCCTCAGCATTACTCCTCCTACCATAGAGCACAGCTCTAAATATCACCACAATCCTGCTATTATCAGAATCCTGGTCAGTTTTATCACAGTCAAGGGTCTTCTGTAATACTATCATCACTAAATAATAGCACATACATGTATATTTTGACATTTTTAGGAGATGCTGTGGTCACAAGCTGAACAGCGGTGCTGTGAGCTCATGCTGCGTGCGTCAGCCTTGGTGGCTCGCTCAGTACTGAGGCTCTCACACCCAGGAATGTTGGCCACGATTTTTTTTCTAGGTGGCGTCTGTTAACTATCGGTCGTGGCTGCACTATAGCTGCCCCTATCCCACGCGGAGCATTTAAATTAAAGCACTAGACACTAAAAGAGCTATTAATGTATTGCGCGGTCTAAGGGTTAGGGTGGACATTATGTTGAACAGTGAAAGCTTTAAAAGATATAAATATAAAGCCAGACCATAATAACTATAGATATACATATAAAATTTATGTTGTGGTTGGTGTTGGTAAAATGTATGACATTGTGTAGTTGGGGTTGTTAGTTTTATAGTTAACACAATTTACCTTAGTGAGCTGCGGAGAGGGAAAAGTCGAGAAGGCTGTGGTGACGCTGCCTCCTGGTTTGCTGACAGCCAACATTCGAGTAATTTCATCCTGCCAAGTAACAAATTAAACAAATTATGGAATGAAGAGAGTAAAACCACCAAGATAAAACTCAAGTGATATTATAAAGTAGACCTAGACCCCAGTGCTACTGAGCACATGGTAAAAATGGTATGCCTTTTACTCTGTTGTACAATTTAATTCCATTCTCCTCTGCCCTCTCATTTACCCTCTTGCAACCCCTTCCTCACAAATAATTAATGAAAATTTTTAACTCACACCCTGAATGATAATAGGATTTTTTTTTACAACAATTTCCAATTGAATGGCTTAATTTAACCCTTTCATTGTGCATATCAGTTGGAGCCACACATTGACCGAAACGCTGTGCGTATTAGTGGCTTTAGGTATTGTATGTACTAGCTCTATCTATAAATCCAACATTATGATTGTAACTCATCTTCTATGTATGTACTTTTTCCTGAATAAAAATTTGAATTTGAATTTGAACATGCTAATTATCCAAAAAACCACCATTGAAAGTAAAGAAACACCATTTTGTGGGTGAGACCCGGAGGCTCCCCGAAGCTATCCAGGCTGAAATGCTAATGTCAGACTTTGGCATCAGTCATGTGTATGGAGTTCTGTGGGCCTACCGGGGACCATGAGCCAGAACTTGGCCCCCTCACAGAGGCATGAGGAGCAATGGCCTATAAACCCCATGTGGTTGGAAGCATTCTATGTCTGCCATCGTCCGGGATAGGCACCCAGAAAGGTAGGCGTCCCAAAACAAACCCCTATTCTGGTGAAAATTGCAACCAAAAGCCGAACAAGTGGATAGAACTCCCCTAACAAAAACGAGCAAATTAGTATGACGTCATTCGTCGTCGCGTCGCTGTCTGCGCAACCCCCCCCTCCCCAAAAGGGGGAAGGGGGAGGCACAGACCTACCGCGCCGGCGATCCACACCCCAGTTCTGAGGCTGGATGTCAAAAACACGCGAAAAAAAACGCTGACCGGAACGAGGGAGGGATGCTGGGGAGCCTCCGGGACTCACCCAGATAATGGCGTTTCATTACATTCAACGTTGGTTTTCTGGGGAGAGCCCCTACGACTCCTCAGAGCTAACTACCCACAGAGGAAAAGAATAGGGACTGACCCGGGAGGCGGTCGCTGTAAACTACTCAACCCGAAGTGGAGACAACAGGCCGCATCCGCCGACCGAAAACGACACAGGCCTGACTGTGCCCAGGAATATGTACATGGGAACGAGCAGCCAAGGATCCTGTTCGACTGCCAAAAACTCCTTGCCCGAACGTCCTCCCAGGAAACAGTACCAAAGACGGCGGCAAGAGCCGCGAACTTGCGGACGTCATGGGCACGGGGATAGTCCGCAGGCAGAAGAGCCTGAAGAACCCCGCGGACGACCTGGAAGGCCCGCACCCTCGAACATGGAAGAAGGGAACCGGAGCTACCCAAATTGTGGCCATAGACCCAGAAGCCGTGGCACGCCAACCATGGCGGAGAGCTGCAACCGGACAAAAACAAATGCACCCCTGGCCCAGCCAACCAAGCATCAACAACCCAGGGACCCCTCCGAAAAGCAGCAGTCTCATCCTTCGCCAGAAAAGAAGGAGAAGGCAGCAGACGACCAAACCGAACACCTCAACCTAAGGAGCAGAAAACCCCTGCGCAGGAGGAGAGCATGAAGCTCACCTACTCATTTTTTTGACCCCCAGAGGCCAATGCCAACCGGAAAAGAGCCAACGAAAAACAAACCGGAACCGAAGGGGCCACAATAAAACGAGAAGAAAGAAAAGAGCACTCTGTCCAATGACCAGGACGGCTCAAGCAGCGCAAGAACAGGCCGGAGGTGAAACAAGCACGAGACAGCTTATGAATGGCGCAGATGAAAGTCCGAAAGCAAGCCGAAGCGGCTCTGCCAGCACTGCAGAAAATGAGGCGACAGTATGCGGCAAGTCGACGGCCCCCAACCCCTAGAAGAAAAACGAAGCCGACGCCAACAAACGCAGCCACCGAAGAAGGGACAGAAGGAAAAGGAAGGACTGCCAAAACACCCCATACTGCCGCCAAGAAGCACACAGGTGGGACACCAACAACGAAGCCACCTGACCACCAACGGACGCGAGATCCCCGAGGCAGAACGTAATCGGCACTGCCAAGGGTCATCCGAGCCTAGGAAGAGGCGGAGCCGCAGAAAGATCTCGGGTGCGACCACCAAGGAAACCGAGCCAGAAGCCCAAGCCAGCAAGGAGGAGATGGAACGTTTGCCGAATAGAAAACTCCCCAACACGAGCAAGCTCGCCAGGGGACTGAAAACCACGGGTCCGACGTGAGACACCAGAGAAGGGACATCGCAAGACCCTAAAAAAAAAAAAAAAATACAACAGGCAGGGCAAGCCAGGAAAACAGGAAATCAAACCTGGCAACAAGAAGGCCAAAAGGCACAAACAAAACACACAACAGTGTGAAGGAGGAAATGATAAAAAGACTAGCAGAAATGCCCCAGCACCAGCGGCGAGGGACACGAGTGAAGCAGTTAGACGAGAGGAATGCATGAGGAAGGGAAGTGGCGGAGGCCAACCCCACACCCAGCGACCAGTGCAGAGAAGAGCCCAATAGGCTCCGGAACTTGAACAGAAAGCGAATAATAGGCGAGGGGCGAGACGAAGAGCCCAAGCTCATCCCCAGCCAGCACAATGAGGCAAGGACAATGAGGTTAGGACAGAGAATCCAAGGAACATGGAAAAAACCAGGCCCAGCACAGCAAGACCAGCAAGGAAGGAGGGCCCCAGAAAAGCAAGGGGACAAAAAACCCAAACAAGGAAGGTGCCAGAAGGAGGCGCCTTCCTTGGAAGGGCCGAACAAAATGCCACAACCATACCCCCTACACACAGCAGCAGTATCAAAACCGCAGCAAAGCGTCACCACACTCCCAGAGGAAGTGACAGGGAAGATAAAGATAAACTAACACGAGTGGCACACAACAAGGGGACACAGGTGGAAACTGAGTACCCAACTGAGCCACAGGGACTTTAGAAGAAACGTGTGCAGTGTAACAGACAACTGATGGAACACATTAGGCAGCAACATTAGTGACACGTGTCGCTTTGGGTCGGCGGTTGCAGCCAGTTGTCTCGACTTCGAGTTGAGGAGTGAGCAGCGACCGCCGTCTGGGTAAGTCCCTTTGTTTTCCTTTGTGGGTAGTTAGCTCCGGGGAGTTGAAGGGGCTCCCCCAGAAAACCAACGTTGAAGGTAATGAAACGCCATTTTCTGGGTGAGACCCGGAGGCTCCCCAGCATCCTTCCCTCCCTCCGGTCGGCATTTTTTTTGTGTGTTTTGACATCCAGCCTAAGAACTAAAGGGTGCATAGCCGGCTTGTGGGGTCTGGGGCTCCTCCTTCCTCCTCCCGGGGAGGGGGAGCTGCGCAGACGGCGGCCCGGCGACATGTGATGTCCTGATCGTTTGCTTGTTTCATTTAGGGGAGTTCTATCCATTTGTTTGGCTTTTGGTAACAATATTTTTACCAGAATAAGGGTTTGTTTTGGGATGCTTACCTTTCTGGGTGCCTGACCCGGTCGATGGCAGACATAAAATGCTTCAAACCACACGGGGTTTTTTATAGGCCATTGCTCCCCTTGCCTCTTCTGAGGGGGGCCAGGTTCTGGCTCGTGGTTCCTGGTAGGCCCATTCAACTCCATACACATGACTGATGCCAAAGTCTGACATTAGCATATCAGCCTAGTATGCTCCGGGAAGCCAAAGGGGCTCCCCACAGAAAAGACCTGGGAAAACAACCCTGAACTGAAGGGGGAATGACAAACGAGGGGAAGAGAAGAGACCACCTGGCCCAATGACCAAGATGACACCGGAGGCGCATGAGCAGGCCTAAGGTGAAACAATGCACGATGGCGGATGGGGTAGAAGTGACATAAATACCGAACGCAAGCTGGAGCGGCTCCACCAGCGCCGCATGATACGAGGCGACAGTATCTGGCAGAAGAGGATGCTCCTGAAACATCCACGAAAGGAAGGACCATCAACCCTATCAGAGACCGAAGTACACCTACGCAGTGATAGGAATCGGAAGTACCACCAGGAACTTCATACTGCCGACGAGACGAAGCACACAAGTAGGAGACCAACAACGAAGCCGCCCAAACAAGTAATGAGAAACTCGAGACAAAAACCCAAGATGCGAAGACTCGAGGAGAAGAATGAACCAACCTCGTACCAGGCCGGACCAACCTACAGAAAGAAGCAGAGCTGAGGGAAGACCCTCAGGTTCGGACACCGAGCAAGCAGCACCGGAAGCCAAGGACAGGCCAGCCACCAAGGAGCCAGAAGGACAACACTCCCCTGGTAAGTCTCCAAGCGAGCTAGGACCTTAGACACCCCCAAACGGGAACCGCCAGGAGAGCCAAACCCCAAAATCTCAGCAGACGAGTCACCCGAAACGGCCAGTCCCAAAGAGCCAAGGACCACACGGAACCCTCACAGTTCAGGCGAAGAACTACCAGGGAAAAGTCTGAATGAAACCAGCTTGACGATCTGCAAGCGACCCGAATCCTCCGGAGCGAAATCCACACAGCCGCGAACACCCGCACCCCACTGAGGGCCCGACGGAAGGACCGACCCTACTGTCCCTGGCTAGCTTGGTGAGCACGGGTCACAAAGCATCAGCCAGGAAATGACATGGCAGCGAAGACAATGAGCAAGGGCTCAGGTAGGTGCCAAGGCACAGAATCCCGAAAGCCCCAAGAGGAAGCCGGCAACGCTGCAAACGACGCAAAGTCCCCGGAGGCCGAACCCAGAAAGTTCTCGTAATCCATCCTATCATTTTTCTGGCTGACGCAATATTTGCTTGGTTATGCTCCCTAAAAGTTAGGTTGTCGACCATCATTATTCCCAAATCCTTGACATGCTGTTTTCCTACTATGGGCAGATTCGATTGTGTTTTATACCCTATATTATGTTTCAAATCCTCATTTTTGCCGTACCCAATTACCTGAAATTTATCACTGATGATATTAATACAAAGGCAAATAGCCTCCAATGGACAAGAACAAGGATGGACCGCACTTAGGTTAAAAGCACTGGGACCCCTGGGAGCCGGTCGGCCGAGCGGACAGCACGCTGGACTTGTGATCCTGTGGTCCTGGGTTCGATCCCAGGCGCCGGCGAGAAACAATGGGCAGTTTCTTTCACCCTATGCCCCTGTTACCTAGCAGTAAAATAGGTACCTGGGTGTTAGTCAGCTGTCATGGACTGCTTCCTGGAGGTGGAGGCCTGGTCGAGGACCGGGCCACGGGGACACTAAAAAGCCCCAAAATCATCTCAAGATAACCTCAAGATAACCCCCCATGCAAGATGGCAACAAAGGAGTACTACTGTGATGCACAAGGTTATATCTTGAGGTTATCTTGAGATGATTTCGAGGCTTTTTAGTGTCCCCGCGGCCCGGTCCTCGACCAGGTCTCCACCCCCAGGAAGCAGCCCGTGAAAGCTGACTAACACCCAGGTACCTATTTTACTGCTAGGTAACAGGGGCATAGGGTGAAAGAAACTCTGTCCAATGTTTCTCGCCGGCGCCTGGGATCGAACCCAGGACCACAGGATCACAAGTCCAGCGTGCTGTCCGCTCGGCCGACCGGCTCCCTACACAAGGTGGCAACAAATCAGCAACAGAAATGACTGGCAAATTGGCAGAAGATTGAGCTGCAGGCTGCCTGGTGGTGGTGATCAGTACTAATGGATTCGAGCTAGTTTTGGGCGAATTATTTTGTTTAGTTTAAATCTTTGGGCGAGTTGTTTGGCAGTTTCAAGGCTTCAGTTTTTGTGAACCCAGATGCTTTCCTGGTGAAATGGTAGAATGTCATTTACTTCCTGTGTCTCTGTAATGTGGTGGCCAAACAGAACTCTCGCAACTGATGTGATTTTACAGTACAGTGGGGCTTCAACTTACGAATTTAATCCTTTCCCAGAGATAGGGCCGTAAGTAAAAAATTCCTAAGTCGAAACAAACTTTCCCATAATATATCATGTAAATTTAATTAATCCGTTCCACACCCCGAAAAATATTAACTTAAAAATACATTTTATACTGAATAATGCTCATTTTGTACTAGCTACAATACAGTACTGTATGTATATCTTGCCTTAAATGAGGACTCTTGCTGGCATATGGAAGATGGTGAGGAGGAGAGGTGTTAGTATTTGGAAGGGAAGTCCCCTTCCATTATTACATCAGGCAGTAATGACTTCTCTGGGGGTACTTTCTCTCTCTCCTACACTTTGCAGGCATACCACTAGGACCTGGTTGTGGTTCACTGCTTGCTTGTGTCTTGCTAAGAATCTGATTAAAGACACTTGTTTTCCCTACATTTTAACACTTGTCTGTAGTGAAACATCACATTGTCAGATTGCAGTTCCTCCCATACTTCACACATTTTCTTAATGAGGAAGGGACATCCTGTACTACCTCTACTCTCAACTATTTTCTTAGGTTGAACCTTACCACTGACTTTCTTGGGACCCATGACGTGATATATAATAACTACTTTTATGTTCAAAACATAAAAAGCACAAAAATAATGAAATACTTTACAGGCATGATCGTCACTAAGTGGGCGGCTCTGGTAAACTGGGGAAGGGTCGGTCGTGCCACCAGGAACCACGCGATCAGTCGACCCATATGCATATTAACAATGTCACTAGTCGAGGCAAAAGTCATAAGTTGAGTCTCATTTTCTGACAAAATTTATATCGTAACTCGAAAAATTCGTAAGTAGGGGTCATCGTAAGTCGAGGTACCACTGTATTGGGCAATTTCAGCATAATAGCTACAGTCACCAAACGGCTCCCTCAGATAGGTAATTATATATCCAACATTAACATATTGTCAAATTAGTTTAACCCCCAGTATACGGTTATCGTTATTTGCTGATCTCCTGGGCCACTGCAGTCGTCTTCATTTGCCAATTATTATTGCCCAGTTTTATACCTTCGATGTATGTATGGTTATAATACATCCACACAGATATAATGGAGGTAATCAAGACCCATAAACAATTCTGATATTGCTTTGTAATTGCTGTAATTGTATCCTCTGGAAATGAGGTTATCATGCACTTGATGCCTTCATCAATAATCAATTTGGTCTATCCCAATAGTGTTTGAAGCCATGCCTGGACAACATCCCCAAACAGAATCACAGCAAAGTTGTGAGTTTCAAGACAGCCAGAGGAATGCAAGGAACAGATTTATGTACAATAGGTGCACATATTATAATGAAAGCCTACAATACAATACTTAGTCATTTTGTCAATTATGTGTGCATAAGTTAGTCAACACAAACACTACATTGTGTAAATTAGCAAGTGAATTACAAGCCATGCTGTACCTGTAGCAAAACAACATAAGCATTGTACTCTGAACTACCTGATTACCACCAATAATCAATAATTGCCAATAATTGAGCACCACCAATAATTGCCCAAAACACTGTGCGTACTAGTGGCTTTAGGCATAGTATATACCAGCTCTATCTAGAAATCTAACATTCTGTTTGTAACTCATTTTGTATGTATGTACTTTTAGCTGAATAAACATCATTATTATTATTATTATTATTATTATTATTATTATTATTATAATAATGCTGTACTGCACCTGTAGTGAGGCAATATCTGAGCGAAGATGGTTGAGCTTGTTGTTGTTGTTGATGAGGTGGTATGCAGGTGAAGCAGAGTCATTGGCAGGTTGCGTGGCTGGCCGCCGTTTGCTTAGATCCACTACCTGCACACCTGTCATTATCGAGTTTACCTCCTGCCAACAAAATTATGCACATTAATAAAAATTTCTGTAAACTTTCATTTTTTACTCAGCAATAATGTCAGTCTATAGTTACAAATAAAATTCAGTATAGTTTTGGACTTGACAATGCTGCTGTACATTAATTCAACAACACTAAAGACAAAATACCTAGAAAACCAGCATTGAATGTAATGAAATGCCATTTTCTGGGCGAGTCCTGGAGGCTCCCCGGAGCAATCCAGGCTGATATGATTATCCCTAACTTTGGCACCAGTCAATGTGAGTGGAGTTCTAGGCCTACCAGGGACCACGAGCCAGAACCTGGCCACCCTCAGAAAGGCACGAGGAGCAATGGGGCCGGTGGCTGAGCGGACAGCACACTGGGCGCGTGATTCTGTGGTCCCAGGTTCGATTCCGGGCATCGGCGAGAAATGATGGGTAGAGTAAAAAACATAGTAAAAAACAAAACACCAAACAGAGAGGTAGAAACTCCCTACAATCCCAAGGAAACAAGTAAACAAGCAAACAAGCAAACATCACACTTTACTGCCGCGCCGATCGTCCGCGCAGCCCTCCCCGCCCCGAGAGGGAGAGGGGGAGCCCCGATCCTCACCACGCTGGCTGCCTAGCATCAGTTCGTAAGCTAAGCTTCAACCAACGCAAAAAAAACGCCGACCGGTGGGAGGGAGGGTTGCCAGGGAGCCTCTGGGGCTCACCCAGAAAATGGCGTTTCATTACATTCAACGCTGGTTTTCTGTGAGGAGCCTCTACGGCTCCCTGGAGCTTTATACCCAAAGAGAAGGAAAAGAAAGGGCTGACCCGGGAGGCGGCCGCCAGAAACTCCGCAACGCGAAGCCGAGACAACAGGCTGCAACCTGCGACCCAAGGCAACAAGAAACGCACAGGAGCAGACGCGCACATAAAGAACGGGCGGCCAGGAACCTGTGCGACCCTCAAATCCTCGCGCTCGAAATGAGCCCTAGACGTCACCCACACAGCAGCAAAAGCTGCAAACGTCCGAACAGCACGGATGCAAGGATAGACCACAGGCTGGAAGACCTAAAAATCTGCAGACGACCTGGGAGACCCAAGCCCTGAAAGAGGAAACAAGGGGAACCGGATCAACCCAAAGCACATCCCCAGACACGGTACGCAGGTAATGGCAAAAAAGCGCAACCGGACAACACAGGACGCACCCCCAGCCGAACCAATCAAGCATAAAAAATCCAAGGACCCCCCCCCCCTCGGTAAGCATCCGTCTCGACCGTCGCCAGAAGGATGGAGAAAGGCTGCAAACGTACAAACCTACCACCAATACCAAAGAGCAGAAACCTGAACTGAAGGGGCTACCACAAACTGAGAAGATAAGAGGGCACCCTGATCAAGGACCAGGACGGCTCAGGCGATGCATGAGCAGGCCAGAGGTGAAACAAAACACGAGAAAGCGTACGGAACGGGGCAGATGTGATGTCCACCCCGAGCGCAAGTCGGAGCGCACAAAACGAGACGACAGTAAGAAACATCAAATAACTGTAGTCCTGAAAAACCCAAGAAAGGACAAGACAACCCAATGCAAAGGAGAAGACGACCTACGAGAAGCAAGAAAAAGGTGCATAGAAACACTAGGAACATCATACTGTCGCCAAGACGAAGCTCGCAGGTGGGACACCATCAACAAAGCCACCTGATCACCACAGAGATGGTGATACCTGTGTCAAAATACCAGATGCGAAGAGCCGAGGAGAAGGCCGAACCAGTCAAATACAGGACCGGTCCGACCTGCTGAAAGAGGCAGAGCCACGGGAAAACGCCCCGGGTTCGGACACCTGTAAAGCATCGTCTGAAAATAAAGCTGGGCCAGCCACCAAGGGACCATGAGGACTACTCTCTTGGGAATGGGCTCCAACCGAGCCAGAACTCGAAGCAACAGCTGGACCGTGAGAAGAGGAACAGGTTGCCCACCTCGACCAGTCCTGCCGAAAGGCATCCACTGTGAACGCCTCGCAGGCGGATAAGGGCGCCACATAGCATGGGCGACGCCTAGACCACGCCGACTCGAAGACGTCCATGGCCAAGAGTCCATACGTCCGGCAGAGTCAACAAAACGAGTCGGCGACGACTGGCCAATTCGCTAACAGAGGAATGAACTGAGACAGGCTGTCCGCTAGGACGTAGGACACACCCCGGACATGAACCTCACGGTTAGCCACACCCTGAGAATCCAGCAAACGAGCCACTCGAAGGGACCAACCCCAAAGGCAGACACCTAAGAGAAACCCCGTAATTCCGGCAAAGAACCGCCAGAGAACAGTCCGAATGGAGCTGAATGGTAGAGCATCGAGTGACCCGAATCCTCCGAAGCGCAAACTAGACAGCCACGAACTCCCAAACCGTGCTGTGAGCCCGACAGGCGAACAGACCCCACCATCCCCGGCTGACCTAGTGAGCACTGGTCACAAAGCCCCAGCCGAGAGATGACCCGTCCATGAACACATCGAGCGAAGGCTTGCGGAGATGCCAAGGCACGGAACCCCGAAAACCCCAAAGAGGAAGCTGGTGACGCAGCACCAACACAAGATCTCCGGAGGAACGAACCCAACGATTGCAAGAGAGGCAGAAGGGGAGTCTCCGAAGAAACCAAACAGACACCGAAGCCAAACCCGAACCTGAGGGCAGACCAGCACGTCGAAGTTCAGACTCCCGCACAACTGCTCAAGCAACCGCCGAGCAACCTGGGACCCCTTCAAGAACAGCCGAAGGCGGGACCACAGCCGTAGCAACACTTCTGGAGGGAAGGACAAGGAGCCCTAAACAAGACCCAGCCAGGTCTGAACCCGGGACGGAAACAGATGGAACAGCCTCCAGATCACCAGGAAACCAAACCCGGCAATCTGGAAAGAACCACACACCTAGCGAGCAGACAAGCGGACCGACTGGGAACCCACACCAGCCAGTCGTTGAGGTAGGCCAGACACTAAATCCCAAGCAGACTCACGACAGGGCACCAAGATCCGGTAAAGATGCGTAAATACACCAAGTGCCAATTACAAACTAGGGAAGGCAACAAAAGCGGCAAGCCTAAAACCCCACCACCAACTGTGCCAGTCCCGGAAAACTGGAGAAGAACGTGCCAAGAATTGACCTGGAGGTCCAGGGTCACCATCCAGGCACCCGGCCCCAACAGAAGCTGGACCAGAGACAACAGTCCTCCGATGAGGGCATAGAATCCAGGGTGCAGACTGGAGAAGTCCAGAAGAACCGCAGATTCGCCAGGCCCGTGTCTGCATAGAGCAGACGGGAACCCCAGAAGGATGGAATGGATCGACCACGTCCAATGCACCCATTAAGATGACATGACGAAGCGCAGGGGAAGAAGCCCACTCCGCCAGCCCTAAACCCCCCAAAGGGGAAGAAGCCGTCCGCCGCCGCCACCAGAGGCCGGAAGACAACCAAAAGCACCCACTAACTGTGGGGCCATGCAAGAGTCAACAGAGCAAGCTGCTCCCCCAGCGCCCCGTCAACAGCGAAGGGAACAGAGCCCCTTCCGAAAGAAAAATTATACATACATATATACACATATGTACATATATATATATATTACGTACATATACATATATATTATGTACATATACATATATAATATGTACATATACACATATACATACACATACACATACAGATAAATACACACAAAGGTGTATTACACACACGTGCGTATGCACATACACATGTGCACACACACAGTGTACACATGTACATGTTCATGTGTACACACACACATACAGGTGAAAAGAAAATTACAAGCCACCGACCAGTGGGCAGAGAGCACCATACCGGCCAGGTGAAGAAGGCACAAAACTGCATCAAAAGGCCCACCTCGACGACAAAACCCCCAAGTCCCAGCACGACCACAACATGTGCCAAGATCCAAAAAGATCAGTCTGCAAGCCAGGAAGACCCCGGAACCCCAGAAGGCAGAACCGGGTCACACACGAGGAAACAAAGCCCCCTGAACCCACAAAGGGGGGCCCCAAGAGGAAGAAACCTCGAAACGAAACCAAAGAACCCAAAGGAACCTGGAATCGAACCAAGGGGAGCCAAAACCACTACATTTGCCGCCGGAGATACACCACAGAAGACAAAGCACAGCCCCCAGACAGAACCCCTAGGGAAACGGTCAAAACAGACTGAAAACCGAGGGACAAGGTCTCGGAGCAAGCATAACAGACATGGACACTGAGCCCAAACCCTAGGGCCCAGACGCAAAACAGACAAAACGGAAAACCTGGTGTAAAATCAACACTCAAACGTTCCCAGAGGAACAGAAGATGGGCAGAAAACACCAGAAAAGCAAAGAAACGACAACAGGAGAATAAAACCTCTGAAAAAGGTGAAAAAATCACCCAAGACGCTCGCTCGCACACCCAGGCGCATGTAAACAAACCGCAACGCCGCCCTGGTGGCCACGCCGGAAAACAGGCAGAAGAAAATGGCCACCAGAACAGAGGGCTGTGACCAACGCAAAAGATACGAAAACACGCCAGAGAAAGTGGGAAGCAAGTAGACTGGATGGGCGAAAAACTCCGCCCAAAAGCAGAAAACCCAGACAGGGGCAAACCGCCCCAGAACTGCTAGCAGGCATCCCCCACAGCCCCGGGAACCCGCAACAGAGGCCCTGGGGCAGAGCCGTCCTCCAAGCCCTCCGCCCTTAAAGAAAAGGAAGCCGAGTCCATGGGAAAGGCAGCAAGAAAGGGTCATTGGTAAGACTCAGAAGCCTTGGCAGGAGGAACAGACTCAAAAACCTCTGTCCCCAACCCGAACGGGGAAGCCCCTGAAACCGCCCGAGTCTCGGCCCCAAACTAAACCCTGCCCCAACCCCCCGCAGACGGTCCGGAGCCAGGAACAGGGAGGGAAAGGGGCGAACAGCACCTAACCAAAACGGGGCGGCCCCGGGGCATCCGAGTGGGAAACCAACCTAGCGTGTTGCAGCAACCTAACCTAGCTTGCAACACGGATGCCACCTGTACTCTGAACAGTAATAACATCAGGAGAGTACTGTAGAACAAGCAGAGAATATCTCTCGCAAGACTCTGGGTCAAGGTGTCAGTGACCCAACAGGCAACATGACGAGGTAAAAGTGGTGACTGTCACCCGGAGACAAGGGCACAGCAACCAACGATCCCATACAAGACGGGTTAGAACCCGGAAGACACATTCAATGGTCCACCGAGCCCTGACAGGGGTTTCCAGGGCCCGTAGGGTAACAACTATGGGAAGCCCGGGCAAGGTGTTACTAACCGTTTAAGAACCCCCCCCCCCCAAAAAAAAAGGGGTAGAGGACTACATTGAAAACCCCTGCGACATGTACAATCACAGGGGCCTAGCAGAGGGCCACCAAACACTACCAGTGGAACTATAGCCACACTAGGCAGACCCCCACCAGGCAAATGAAAACAAAAACAGAAGAAAACCCCCGCAAAAGTACACCGTCTCCAGAGGCAACAGGAACCGGTCGCTGCTTAGGTGGCAGGTCGCGCAACACCTTGATGCCCTAACCAGCACAATACCAGTCCCTATCCAGGGCCAAACAAGGGCCCCAAGCCCCAGCTGGCCCCAGGGGCGAGGCAAATGCCGAGCAGCAAGAACCGCTACGGGAATGCTTCCCAAACGCCCCAGGGAAGATAACCCTGTCACGCAGGGGCAGTACTCAACAGGGCGGTTAGGGAAGGAAGCCCCTAACCGCATGCAGCCCTGGTACTGATGAGGAACACCTGGCCACTGCACAACACATCACACGGCAGTGAACGCCACACAAGGCAAACACCGCCTAGGAAACTGAGGCCAGAGAAGCGTCTATCCCGGTTGACATTAACTTACGAACTGATGCTTGCCCGAAACGCATTGCGTAATAGTGGCTTTAGGCATTGTATGTACTAGCTCTATCTATATATCAATCCATTAATGTAACATCACTTGTATGTATATACCTTACCTGAATAAACATATTTATATTTATTTATTTATATGCTAGGCAGCCGGCGCGGTGAAGTCCGGGGCTCCCCCTCCCCCTTTCGGGGCGGTGAGGGCTGCGTGGACGATCGGCGCGGCAGTAAAGTGGGATGTTGGCTTGTTTGTTTGTTTCCTTGGGATTGTAGGGAGTTTCTACCTCTCTGTTCGTTTTTTTGTTTTAGTTTTTTACCATGTGGGGTTTGTTTTGTTATGCCTACCTTTCTGGGTGCCTAACCCCAGTCGATGGCAGATAAGAAAAACCCCAACCATAAGGGGGTTTTCCAGGGCCATTGCTCCCTGAAACCTCTCTGAAGGGGCCAGGTTCTAGCGCTGGTCCCTGGTAGGTCTGAACTCCTTAGCTAATGTCCCGGTCTAATATAATATACATTAGCCCGATAAGCTCCAGGGAGCCGTAGGGGCTCCCCACAGAAAAGATAGTGGAACATCTGGAGCGAAGGAACTTTGTGACACAAAACCATCATGGTTTCAGGGATGGCAAGTCATGCCTCACAGAATTAATTGAATTCTACGATCAGGCAACAAGCATCAGACAGGAGAGAGAGAGGTGGGCAGACTGCATATTTTTGGATTGCCAGAAAGCCTTTGATACAGTTCCACACCAGAGACTAGTGCAAAAGCTAGAAATGCAGGCAGAGGTGAAAGGGAAGGTACTCCACGGGATAAGGGAGTACTTAAGTAACAGAAGACAGCGAGTCACTGTGAGGGGTGTAGTCTCAGACTGCCGAGACGTCACCAGTGGAGTCCCTCAGGGTTCAGTCCTTGGACCCAAACTGTTTCTAATATATGTAAATGATCTTCCAGATGGTATAGAATCATTCCTCTCATTGTTTGCTGAAGATGCAAAAATTATGAGGAGGATTAAGACGGAAGAAGATAGTATGAGGCTACAAGATGACCTAGACAGACTGAATGAATGGTCCAACAAATGGCTACTAAGGTTCAACCCGAGTAAATGTAAGGTAATGAAACTAGGCAGTGGAAACAGAAGGCCAGACACAGGATACTGAATGGGGGATGAAGTCCTTCATGAAACGGACAGAAAGAAAGATCTGGGAGTTGATATCACACCAAACCTGTCTCCTGAAGCCCACATCAAAAGAATAACATCTGAAGCATATGCGAGGCTGGCTAACATCAGAACTGACTTTAGGAACCTGTGTAAGGAATCATTCAGAACCTTGTATACCACATATGTAAGACCAATCCTGGAGTATGCGGCCCCAGCATGGAGCCCGTATCTTATCAAGCACAAGGCAAAGCTTGAAAAAATTCAGAGGTATGCCACTAGCCTAGTCCCAGAACTAAGAGGCACGAGTTACGAGGAAAGGCTGCGGGAAATGCACCTCACAACACTGGAAGACAGAAGAGTAAGGGGAGACATGATCACTACCTACAAAATTCTCAGAGGAATTGACAGGGTAGATAAAGATAAACTGTTTAACACAGGTGGTACGCGAACAAGGGGACACAAGTGGAAACTGAGTTCCCAAATGAGCCACAGGGATGTTAGAAAGAACTTTTTCAGTGTCAGAGTAATTAACAGATGGAATGCATTAGGCAGTGATGTGGTGGAGGCTGACTCCATACACAGTTTCAAATGTAGATATGATAGAGCCCAGTAGGCTCAGGAATCTACCAATCGTCAATCAACCAGCCAGTTGATTGACGGTTGAGAGGCGGGACCAAAGAGCTAGAGCTCAACCCCCGCAAGCACAACTAGGTGAGTACAGCCCGGTGGGTATGTAATCCCACTCTGTAAATGACCAGCGTTGAATGTTATGAAACGCCATTTTCTGGGTTAGCCCCAGAGGCTCCCTGGCACCCTCCCTCCCTCCGGTCGGCGATTTCACTTTGCTTTTGATGCTTAGCCTCTGAACTGAGGTTGGGTAGCTGGCGCTGTGGCTATTAGTGACACTAATTGCACTAACACTTATATGTAAAATTAACTTGCTCTATCAGAACTTTGACAGTAAAGAGGCTTAGCTCATTATGAGAGTGAACACAGTTTTGCTGACTGGGGCAGTGTGGGTTACAATATGACACTAGAGGGTCATGTGAACCTTTGATTTATTTATATATCTAGTCAATTGAGACACAAAAACGGGGAACTGGGAGGTTGCTCAGATGAACGAGTATTCATATTATGAGTGTTCCTATATTGGGGACCTCCTTTCAGCTTCTGATTTGTAAAATTCCAGAACTGATGTGTAACAGATGTAGCTCCTACCTTCTGAAGTTGTGATGTACGTCGCTTTAAGCGATTTATGCACTCTAATACTTGCTTCTCCTCTGATTCATCCTCATCCTTGCCCACATCTCTCTTCTCTTCTCCAACACTACCTAATTTCTGCACCTGAAACACATAAATAATAGGTTATATTGTTAAGTTTTAAAAAAGCTGAGGAAGCTTGAGGATGAGCTCCCCAGCCTGGTACATGATGGAACATTTGTGGATAAAGCCTGCTGCAGCCTACAATACTCTGGACATAGCTTGTGCTAGGATTTATGACAATTTTTTACATCTTTTCTCAAAGACCAGGACAGTGCACAGGTGCCAAGCCATCTGCGACTTTTGCCCCTCCTCCTCCCTCATGGTAAGTTGCTTTCCAAAATATAAATTTTCAAAAGAGTCAGCAGGACAAGAAATGGTTCTGAGCTATACAGTTTCACTGTGGCCAGAGAAATCAGCAGACAGCAGCTTGCCATGATTAGTTTGACTTCTAGAATCCCATAAACTACACAGCTGAGCCTGTTGAGCATCCAGGGTGCTAGGATGAGCCCAAAAGAAGAGCTCCAATCTCCAATATAGTATAAATGATATTTGACCTTAAATCCCAGAAATCCCTGAACCTTCAATGAAAAGTTCAGGGGAAACTAGTCAAGACCAACTAGACTCTACACACAAGTAATCATTGAGAATGAAGGGCAGGGAGGAAATAAGGGTGCTGAGTCTAGGCAGATTGAGAATTCACTAAGACTTGGAAGTGTATTTTTTGACTATTGGTAATAAACAAAAAGCAATCTGCAATAATATACAGTGGTGCCTCGATTAACGAGTTTAATCCATTCAGGCACTGAGCTCGTCATGTAGAAAACTCGTCTTGCGAAACAACAACAAAACTGTCGTCGAAGGTGTCCGAGAACCAGCGGGAATGCGCGTTAATCGAGCGAAAGCTCGTCAGTCGAGACATATTTTCTGAGAGTGGCTTGCTCGTTACTCGAAATGCTCGTAACTGGAGCCGCTTGTCACTCGAGGTTCCTCTGTACAGCAATATTTTGCTAGCCCAGTTACATATTCCAGCACCTGTTTGAAAGCTTTGGAAGAGTGAGGAGATAATCTGTGCTCACACAGTAAAGTGATGGACCAGGACAAGAACCTCGGTCAAAAGATTAAGAATGTGAAGACTGAAGTGATTTTACAGATTCCCGCACCAAGTCCAAAACCGAGTGACCACTTCCTCAGGACACAGGAGAGTTGAAAGAGGCCTGAATAACTTGGGTAATGGACTCTTGCTACCAACAAAGCAGATGTCAAAGCCAGAGAAGAATCTATCCAAAGAAAACAAATCTGAATACATCTATGTAGCAACTCCTGGTAGACCAAATAGCACACTACCTTAGTTAGGTGTATGCTAGCCTTCCAGGTCCATCTACAATGACCATGTTGAGGACAAAAAAAAACTGGAAATGGGCAACCTCATTTCAGTCCAGGGAAGCTGACTAACAGAAAGACTGCCATTTTCCCTCAAAATTGCAACGAATTGCCTGCTAGCCAGTATAAGGCAGAGATTAAATAGTTTCGTCATCATATCATCAGCCACATTACTGTGTCTCATCGTCTGCATAAAGGCTGAAATATTTTAAGAAACAAATTGCTTTGAAATTTTTTATACTAGTCAACTTAGATAGTTTACAGCATCCTAGGAACATCAGAATGAATTTAAACTGAAGGGAAATGACGAGACAGATCAGTGGTCATCACATTCCGACTAGACAGATCAGTGGTCATCACATTCAGACTAGACAGATCAGTGATCATCACATTCAGACTAGACAGATCAATGGTCATCACATTCAGACTAGACAGATCAGTGGTCATCACATTCAGACTAGATAGATCAGTGGTCATCACATTCAGACTAGACAGATCAGTGGTCATCACATTCAGACTAGACAGATCAGTGGTCATCACATTCAGACTAGACAGATCAGTGGTCATCACATTCAGAGTAGACAGATCAGTGGTTATCACAATTTGTTTGCAAATTAATGTCCTGGGTTCAATTCCCACATAGGATACGATATTTGGGCATGTTGATGTTTGGGCACCTTCCATATGATCTAAGAATTCAAATTTTTTTTTATCAAGTGTCATCGAAGTAGCATGAGTTGCTAATCAGTATTAAATCATAATAAGACAAACCTTGATGGGCTTGAGAGAGGCCATTTGATGAAGCATGCGGTGGGCTGTGGCATAGTGACTGGCAGCTGTGGCATGGTTCAAAGCTGTTTTTAAGTCAGAAATTTGTTGCAATAGCAAGGGGGAGTCCCTCACCATACCTCCACCCACCGCTGGAGCTGACCCACTTCCAGATGGGGTTGTGGGAGATGACGGTGATATGTGACCTGAAACCAGGAAATAGTTGACATTAAATAATTCAGCTTTACCAATCAGTGCCGACGGGGAGTGAAATTTAATGCTTTATACCCTGCCTTCTAGCTATTTATACCTGGAATCCTAATTCTCTCTCTTAACATTAAAATTTTCAGCACTTTTTTCTTAAAATTATGGATGGAATTAGCCTAGTGTACTGCATACTGGTACCAAGGTAGCAGACAGCAGTATAAGTACTTAACAGGGCTACTACACACGAAACCAAACATTTTTACATTTTATTTCCAGGGCTTCTGTACTCTTATTCATATCCAGATTATGTGTAAGTATAATCCTATTACTCCTAATGGGAGTAAGTATCTCCCATTAATGAAAACAAAAAACAAAAAAAAATCTTGAGTCTTTCATGCTACTTCTAGAATCTTAGTAGGAAGATGAGAACCATGTCTGGCACATCACCATAAAGCATCTGAACATGCAGGGTGGCCGTACCTGGAGCTATTGAACTTTTAACAATAGCAAATGAGCCATTACCATTGTGAATGTACTCACCTACTTGTGCCTACAGGATCGAGTGTTGGCTCTTGGATCCCGCCCTTCTAGCCGCTGGTTGTTCATAGCAATGACTTTTGTCCTATTTCCCTATTTTATCTAGTTTTAAAAATATGAATAGTTTGCTTCCACAACCTGCTCCTTAAGTTCATTCCATTTTCCCTCTATTCACTAAAAAACACTAAAAACAAAAACTAAAAAAAACTAAACACTAAATAAACTCCCTAACACCTCTGTGACTCATCTGAGTTTCCAGCTTTCACCCATGTCCCCTTGTTCTGTTAGTATTCAGTGAACATTTCATCTATTTCCACTATCTCAATCCCCTTAAGTATTTTATATATTTCTATCATATCCCCCCATCCCTCCTTTTTCTAGTGTCATCAAGTTCAATTCATTCAGTCGCTCTTCATATCCTATCCCTCGTAATTCCAGGACGAGCCTCGTTGCAAACTTCTGAACCTCTTCCAGTTTCCTTATGTGCTTCTTCAAGTGGGAGCTCCATGATGGGGCAGCATACTCTAAGACTGGTCTCACATAGACAGTGTAAAACGCCCTAAATGCCTCCTTACTTTGGTTTTTGAATACTGTTCTAACTTTTGCCAGCGTAGAGTATGCTGCTGTCGTTATCTTATTTTCATGTGTCTCAGGAGTTAGATTATGTGTTATGTCTACTTCCAGGTCTCTTTCGAATCGTCACAGGTAGGTAGTTTCCCTTTATTGTGTACTGTCCCTTTGGTGTCCTGTCACCTAATCCTATTTCCATAACTTTACATTTACTCATGTTGAACTCCAATAGTCATTTCTCTGACCACTCTGCAACCTGTTCAAGTCCTCATGGAGGATCCTACACTCCTCATACATCACAACTCTTCTCATTAATTTTGGGTCATCCGCAAACATCGACATATAGGACTCTACTCCTGTAGACATGTCCTTTATGAATATTAAAAATAGAACTGATCTCAGCACTGATCCTTGAGGTACTCCACTCGTTACTGTTCACCAAAGTGGAATACGCACAAATTATCATGCTGTCTAGAGTGGAATATTGTTGCACACTAACAGCCCCCATTCAAAACTAGAGAAATTGCTGACCAAGAATGTGTGCAAAGATCCTTTACTGCTAGAATCCACTCAATAAAACATCTAAATTATTGGGACTGTCTAAAAATTTAAACTTGTGCTTCCAGATTTAAATCTGTAGGAAAGATAGAGTAAATATGAATGTATACTGTACTTGGAAAATACTAGAAGGACAGATTCAGCCCTAAGGGAATGCAACAAAAGAGGTAAGCCTGCCCCCCCACCACAAAACCTAACCAGTCCCTGAACCCCGAATGAATGGAGATGTGCCAATACGCATCCTGGAGGTCCAGAGATCCCATCCAAGAACCTGGTTCCAGGAGAAGCCGGACCTGGGACAGAGTGGTCATCCGAAAGGAGGGGCTAGGAATCTAGTGATTCATACGGAACAAGTCCAGAATGAACTGAAGATCTGCACAGTCCTGTTTCAGCACTCGAAACAAGCGAGAAACTCACTCGAGGGACAAAGGCATCGCAACCACGCCCAAGTGCACCCACTCCAGGATGACCTGACGAAGTGAAAGGGAAGAAGCCTGTTCTTCCAGTCCTGATCCCCCGAGAGGAGGTGGAGTTGCCCATCGCCACCATAGGCTGGAAGACACGAACTGAAATGCCCACGAATCATGGGACCAATCGTGGACAAACAGAGCCAGCCTCCCCTCCAATGCGACCCGCGGAATGGCTGGCGCCCCTTCCAAGAAGCCAACTTGCGTGCTGAGTGCCCACCATGCCCACCAGACGAAGACAGCTCCAGAGGAGCGACACAGAAGCTCGCACCAAGGGCCCACCTCATGAGAAACAACCGAGTTTGAGAACATTAACAAACATTAAGGAGATGAAAACTTATTAAAAACCCAAGCCGAATCAATAGATTGCAAGGACAGCCTGCCGACACGTGAGGCGAGAGGCAAAAAACAGAGACACTGCCTCCCGCAGGATGGGAGCATACAGTTCCCGTAATGCCGCCAATGCCCTAGCAGCCGAGGCCAATGCCCGCCTCCCAGACGACGGCCCGGCACTCAGTGCCTCCACAAGCCAGTCTGAGAACAGCTCGAGGCCAGAAAGCAAAATGACAGTGAGAAGATCCTCCGCAACCAAGGCAGCTTTAACAGAAGGTACCTGGGCATGCAACTGGAGCAAGCCAACTTCATGAGGAAGCACAGGGGCATAAAGGCATGCATTGAGGTGCTCAAAAGCACCCCCCCCCCATGTAAACCTGTAATACCGTAGTGAGCTTCTACAAATTCAGCATGCGGGTACGACAGAACCTGTGCCATGCCATGCCATGAGGGGCCTGACAGCTGAGTTGACAGCACTCAGGATTTATAGTCCTGAGGTTCCGGGTTCAATCCCCAATGGAGGTGGAAACAAATGGGGATTCTTCTTTCACCCTGATTCCCCTATTCACCTAGTAGTAAATTGGTACCTGCGAGTTAGACAGCTGCTACAGCTGCTTCCTGGGGGTATAATTACCTAAGTGTAATTACCTAAGTGTAGTTACAGGATGAGAGCTACGCTCGTGGTGTCCCGTCTTCCCAGCACTCTTCAGTGCTGGGAAGAAGGGACTCTTCACTCTTCAGGTTCAGTTTCAGCTTCTCTCTATCTTCTTTTGAAAGATCTTGTCTTAACAACCACCCTTTCCCATCCTCATCACTTTGCAATTTTCTAGCATTCCTTAGTACTTCTTCCATCTGTTTGGCACCGTTTAGGGTGATCCTCAAAGGTCGATCTTTCCCTTTTACGTACCTGCCTATTCTCCTGTAGTCGCACACATTCTCTATGGTTGTAAGACCTTCCTCGAGGCCAACAAAAAAGAGAGAGAGAGAGAGAGAGAGAGAGAGAGAGAGAGAGAGAGAGAGAGAGAGAGAGAGAGAGAGTGTGAGTGTGTGAGTGTGTGAGTGTGTGAGTGTGTGAGAGTGTGAGAGTGTGTGAGTGAGTGAGTGAGTGAGTGAGTGAGTGAGTGAGTGAGTGAGTGAGTGAGTGAGTGAGTGAGTGAGTGAGTGAGTGAGTGAGTGAGTAATTACCTAAGTGTAATTACCTAAGTGTAGTTACAGGATGAGAGCTACGCTCGTGGTGTCCCGTCTTCCCAGCACTCTTTGTCATATAACGCTTTGAAACTACTGACGGTCTTGGCCTCCACCACCTTCTCACTTAACTTGTTCCAACCGTCTACCACTCTATTTGCGAAGGTGAATTTTCTTATATTTCTTCGGCATCTGTGTTTAGCTAGTTTAAATCTATGACCTTTTGTTCTTGAAGTGCCAGGTCTCAGGAAATCTTCCCTATCGATTTTATCAATTCCTGTTACTATTTTGTATGTAGTGATCATATCACCTCTTTTTCTTCTGTCTTCTAGTTTTGGCATGTTTAATGCTTCCAACCTCTCCTCGTAGCTCTTGCCCTTCAGTTCTGGGAGCCACTTCGTAGCATGTCTTTGCACCTTTTCCAGTTTGTTGATGTGCTTATTAAGATATGGGCATCACACAACAACTGCATATTCTAGCTTTGGCCTAACAAAAGTCATATACAATTTCTTTAGTATATCACCATCCATGTATTTAAATGCAATTCTGAAGTTAGAAAGCATCGCATAGGCTCCTTGCACAATATTTTTTATGTGGTCCTCAGGGGATAGTTTTCTATCTAGAACCACCCCTAGATCTCTTTCTTTATCAGAATTCTTTAAAGATTTCTCACATAATATATAGGTTGTATGGGGTCTATGTTCTCCTATTCCACATTCCATAACATGACATTTATTAACATTAAATTCCATTTGCCAGGTGGTGCTCCATATACTTATTTTGTCCAGGTCTTCTTGAAGGGCATGACAATCATCTAAATTTCTTATCCTTCCTATTATCTTAGCATCATCAGCAAACATGTTCATATAATTCTGTATACCAACTGGTAGATCATTTATGTACACTATAAACATCACTGGTGCAAGAACTGAACCCTGTGGTACTCCACTTGTGACATTTCTCCATTCCGATACATTGCCTCTGATTACTGCCCTCATTTTCCTATCAGTCAGAAAATTTTTCATCCACGATAGAAGCTTACCTGTCACCCCTCCAATATTTTCCAGTTTCCAGAACAACCTCTTATGTGGAACTCTGTCGAAAGCCTTTTTTAGGTCCAGATAGATGCAGTCAACCCAACCATCTCTTTCCTGTAATATCTCTGTGGCTCGATCATAGAAACTGAGTAAATTCGATACACAGGATCTTCCAGATCGAAAACCATACTGTCTGTCTGATACTATATCATTTCTCTCCTGGTGTTCTACCCATTTAGTTTTGATTAGCTTTTCCAATACTTTCACTATTACACTTGTCAATGATACAGGTCTATAATTGAGGGGGTCTTCCCTGCTGCCACTTTTGTAGATTGGAACTATGTTAGCCTGTTTCCACACGTCTGCTACGATTCCTGTACACAGGGATGCCTGAAAGATCAGGTGAAGTGGAATGCTGAGCTCAGATGCACATTCTCTCAGAACCCATGGTGAAACGCCATCTGGGCCAGCTGCTTTGTTCTTCCCGAGCTCCTTTAGCATATTTTCCACTTTATCTCTAGACACCTCTATGTGCTCTATGTTGTTCTCTGGAATTCTTATTGTGTCTGGTTCTCTGAATATTTCATTTTGTACAAACACACTTTGGAACTTTTCATTTAATGTTTCACACATTTCCTTTTCATTTTCCGTGAATCTGTTTCCCATTTTCAACCTCTGGATATTATCCTTTACCTGCAATTTGTTGTTTATAAATTTGTAGAATAGGCCCAGTTCTGTTTTACATTTATCTGCTATCCCTTTTTCAAAATTTCTTTCTGCCTCTCTCCTTACTGCTGTATAGTTGTTTCTCGCATCTTTGTATCGCTGGTATGTTTGGGGGTTTGGCCTCTTCCTATACTGATTCCATTTTTGTGTCTTTTGGTCTCTTGCCCTCTCACAATTTCTGTCGAACCAATCCTGTTTTCTGGCCCTGCATCTCTGTTTTGGTATGAATGTTTGTGTGCCTTCCTCGTATAGTTTTAAAAATTTGGCATACATTTCATTTACTTCCCTGCCTAGCAACAATTCTGTCCAATTACACTCATTAAAAAAATTTCGAAGTTCCCCATAGTTGCCTCTCCTTAAATCGAGTTTATCAACTGTTTCAATGTCCCCATTTTCTTCTCGATGATATCTTAAAGCATATTTAATGTCTAACAGGACGTGATCACTCTTTCCCAAGGGAGGAAGGTACTGGATGTCAAAAATCTCTTCTTCTTTCCTGGTGAATACTAGATCCAGTACTGACGGTACATCTCCTTCCCTCATTCTTGTGGCTTGCTTTATGTGTTGATACAAGAATGTCTCCAGAATGAGGTTCACAAATCTGCATGTCCAAAAGTCCTCTGTTCTTGCTTCATAGGCCTCCCAGTCTATTGCTCTAAAGTTGAAGTCACCCAGTATCAACAGTCGTGATTTATCTTTATCTGCTTGTACAATAATATCTCTTATGACCATTATGAGGCCCTCTCGTTTGTCATCCAGTTCTTCCTTTGTCCATGTGTTGCTTGCTGGTGGGCTGTAGGTATTTACAATTATCAGCTTATCATCCTGATTCCAGACCTGCAATGCCATTATGTCAATATCTCGAGGGTTTTCAAATATTAACTCTTTTACCTTCAGGTGTTTTTTCACCAGTACAGCCACTCCTCCTCCCTTCCTAGTTTTCCTGTCACGTCTCCAAACTGAGTAGCCTCTTGGGAATATGACTTCATTTATTATATTTCCTTCAAGTTTCGTCTCTGATAATGCAACAATATCTGGGACCCTAAGCTGGATTATATCTTGCAACTCCAAAGTTTTTGACCTCACTCCATCTATGTTGGTATATACAATTTTCAGGAACATGTTCCCTTTTCCTTTGCTCTTTACTCCCCCTTCCACTACTGATCTTGTTGCTTTGTTTTTATGTACCATTTCACAAGCTTTCCAGTCCCTGTCACTTTGTAAAAAAAAGAATTTCTGTCTTCTTCATTTCTATCCCCATTTAGACGTTTTGCCTCAATTAGGTTCATTTTCAGCTTTTCTCTGTCTTCCTTGGAGAGGTCTTGTCTTATTGACCAAAATTTGCCAACCTCATCACTCTGCAGTTTCCTGGCATTTCTTAGCACTTCCATCATGTTTTTCACTCCATTAAACGTCACCCTTAAGGGGCGGTTCTTTTCTTTCTCATATTTCTCTATTCTTCTAAAATCACTGACATTTCACTGACACTGTGTCTGTGTGTCTGTGTGTCTGTCTGTACACCAGTTGATTGACAATTGAGAGGTGGGACCAAAGAGCCAGAGCTCAACCCCAACAAACACAACTAGGTGAGTACACAAATGCAGGAACAGCCGTATAAGGCAAAAATTCCAGAAGAGGAAATTGAGGCCCTGAGGTGATGTCTGACCGCTAGTACCATCAGTCAAGAACTGAATGGTGGGTAGCCGGGCTCAACCGAGCTGGCTCCCCCTCCTCCTATGGAGATGGGGGGGGGGGGGCTAGTTGAACAAAGAGTTGCGTGTTTTGTTTTTTAAGGGGGTGTTTTTTTTTAACCTACATCTTTTGAGGATGTAGGTTGCAATTTTCAACCAGACAGTAGCCTGTTTTGCTTCACCAATCTTTCTGGGTGCCTTCCCTGGTAGATAGCAAGTACCTTCTTGAGGTTATCTTGAGATGATTTTAGGGCTTAGTGTCCCTGCGGCCCGATCCTCGACAAAGCCTCCTTTTTTTTGTTACACATCCCCAGGAAGTAGCCCATAGCAGCTGTCTAACTCCCAGGTACCTATTTACTGCTAGGTAACAGGGGCATCAGGGTGACAAAAATTCTGCCCATTTGTTTCTGCCTCCACCGGGGATCGAACCCGGAATCTCAGGACTACGAATCCGAAGCGCTGTCCACTCAGCTATCAGGCCTTGACCTAACAGCTTTAAAGAATGCTATACTTTAAATGTAAAGTGTTCATAAGCCATAGCTTACTGCGCCTGAGGGGGCCAGGTTTTGGCAATGGTCCCTGGTAGGCAACAAGAACTGTGACTGATGACCCCAAATTAGCACTATACCAGTGGGATAGCTTCAGAAAAGCGACGACGCTCCCCACAGAATTAAACAAAGAAACAGTCCTTTCAGCACATATTCCATGTAGGACCTGCAGTGTCAATTCAGCAATACACCTGTGAAACAACACATACATATATTGTATACCTGTTAAAGGTGAAGACTTTGAGAGAGCTTCATAGAGTGTCTTCTTGTTGAGTGCCTTGAGTTTCTCTCGCAGTTCCCCCTTCTCAGACTCCAAGCTCTCTATATCACTCTGGAGATGGTCCATTGTTTCATCATATTCCTGCAATTTAGAAAGGTAAAGAAAGTTGCTCATTTAATACTTTAAGGACATCCAAAAAAGCAGAATTATCACTAAGATAAATAATGGTCAATAATATTAATTATAAGATATGAGAGAGATGGCATGCAGCCCATATATCTCTTATGTTCACTTTGGTGTGTCTCCACTGTACTGCATGTATGATTGGCCCTGCTGTCTTCAGAGAATCTTGCCTTGATTTCAGGTTGATTTTCAGTCATTCTACTCTCTTTCCTCCTTAAGGCTAGTGTCTACTCTTCACCTGTAGGTGTGGCCTTCGATTACCTTGTTTGCCAGGTGGGATGGTTCTCTGTGACTAGTGCTTCTCTTCTCTATGACTCAACATGGGACCTTTGGCTTGTGAGAGTTTTCCCTTCCTTTTAAATGCATTTTTCTTATGCATCTCCTTCTGACATGGTGAGGTAGTATTGGGACGAACCTAGAAGCCAGCTCAGAAATAAGGTATTGAGTGTAGTAACAAACTACTTTCAGGGCTGATCTCTTGGATGCTACCATTCCCTGCCTTTTTATTATGGCTTCGCAGAGCATGCATGAGTAATGGACTTCAAGTGATTCTTTCTTGCTTCCCCAATCTTGTTATGACTTAAGCTGCCATCTAGTACCAATAGTTAGCAAAATGGTAATTGGTTTTCCTTCTGATTCCAAAGATTGCGTGGGGTGTTAGCTGTATTCATCTGTTCCTTTGAATGATAGTAAGCAGTCTCTCAATGGTAGAATAAGATACATTCACCACAACCACATGACATACCTGGAGAAGGTTTTGGGAGTTCTTCTACTCCCTGAGCCTGGCCTTAGCCCAGGTTCGACTTGTGATAACTCGGTCCAACAGGCTTTTGTTTGGAGCGGCCCGCAGGCCCACATATCCACTACAGCCTGGTTGTTCTGGCACTTCTTGCAAGAACCTGTCTAAGTGCCTCTTGAATACATCCATCTTTGTTCTGTTCATCTTTAGACTCCTGATGTTAAAACGGTGCTCTCTGATTGTGCCTAATGGGACGTACGTGTATTTGCAAACTTCCATGCTACAGTAGGGTGACAAGTTAACTATAGGCTAGGCTAGCCGGTGAGGAGATCACAAATTTCTAGCTTTGGAACAAGTGAAGGACTAGCTCAGAAAGGAACATTTTACCATGCTCAACACCTAATTTTTTCAAAGCGAATGAGAAGATTGATACATGAAGATGATGAGTCACAATAATGTGGCTGAAGATATGATGACTAAACCACACACCAGAAAATGAGGAGACGAGGACATTTTAGTCCGTCCTGGACCATTATCATGTCGATTGTCAACTTGGTAATGGTCCAGGACAGACCGAAACATCGTCGTCTCCTTATTTTCTGATGTGTAGTTTAGTCATCATTGATACATCAATATTATATATTTGCTGAAGGAAAGCTAAAAAGTTCAGATGAAACCAAATCAACAATTCTCTGTTTTAGTCAGAGGTAAAGTTATCTCCAAAAATTCACCAGTACATGAAGCAGGGCAAAGATTGTCACTTGGTTATAAAAACAACTTTAACATGTATTAATTTTCAATAAAATTACCTTTTCTTTACGTCGTAGCATCATTAAGGTATCATCTAGTTTCCTCTGCAGTTTTTCTATGGTTATGTCTGCATCCCTGGTCGCTGTCGAGAGTTTCTTCTCTGCAAGATCTCGCCTGACTGTCATTTCGCTCAGTTCTTCATTCTTCTGTTTGAGTGTGAGTTTGAGGTCTTTAATATCTTGCTCCTTATTTTCTAATTTGTACTTGACATGCTCAGTGTCCTTCATTTCATTCTTACGAGCCTGGGCTCTTAAAGTTACTGGTGGCACCAACTGCAAAAGAAAGGTAAATCTTTGTCTTAAAAAATATATTAAGCATTATAACGTTAAAAAGTTCCCAGTACACACTTCATAACATAGTGAAAATGAAACCCCATATTGTACATAGATGTCGAGAAAAAATATCAGTATCATCATCAACAGCAATATTCCTACTTTAATGAGATGGGTTGGAAAAGATGGGAAATCTTTTTATTCAAGCAAAATTCATGGCTGGAGCATTAACTGGTGAAGAAGAACTGAGAGGTGGCTATCAGGGTAGGTGGCTGAAGCATCAACTGAGGAGGAAGAACTGAGGAATGACATGCAGGGTAGGGGGCTGGAGCATCAGCTGAGGAGGAGGAACTGAGGAGTGACATGCAGGGTAGGGGGCTGGAGCATTGGCTGAGGAGGAAGGACTGAGGAGTGACATGCAGGGTAGGGGGCTGGAGCATCAGCTGAGGAGGAAGGACTGAGGAGTGACATGCAGGGTAGGGGGCTGGAGCATCAGCTGAGGAGGAAGGACTGAGGAGTGACATGCATTGTAGGGGGGCTGGAGCATTGGCTGAGGATGAGGAACTGAGGAGTGACATGCAGGGTAGGGGGGCTGGAGCATTGGCTGAGGAGGAAGGACTGAGGAGTGACATGCAGGGTAGGGGGCTGGAGCATCAGCTGAGGAGGAGGAACTGAGGAGTGACATGCAGGGTAGGGGGCTGGAGCATCAGCTGAGGAGGAAGGACTGAGGAGTAACATGCAGGGTAAGGGGCTGGAGCATCAGCTGAGACCACCATTTTTTCATATTATTATTCCCACTCCTCCTACTCTCCATATCTCTGCTCCTCTCATTCCTCATCTTCCCCTTCCTATTCACCTCCTCTATCCCATCCTTCCCTTCTTTCTTATTCACCAACCTACCAGTGAAATCAATAAACAGAGTAACAAAGAAGAGTACTAAGATTTAGTAAAGAAAGAAATGCCAATGATCATTCCAGCAATGCATGTGAAGCTGATCCTAATTTTACTGGTATGGTAGAGAGAAAACTTGTTTGTTGATGTTTATTGATGAAGTGTTTCCCAGATGCTACCACATCATCAGGAAACCACAAAAATAGAGAGTGGAGTGAAAGTTTGAGAAAGTATAGTAGTATGTAAATACAAATGAAAATAAGGACTTTGATAAAGCTATGAGGAAAGGTTGAGAGAACTCACCATCACAACCTTGAAAAAAAACAGATATATGATAACTATGTACAAGATTTTTTGAGGTGAAGAGATAAAGTAAGAGATAAAGTTGATTAAGGAAGCCTAATTAAATTAAAAAAACCTGTGTTGAATGTAATGAAACACCATTTTCTGGGTAAGTCCCGGAGGCTTCAGGCTGAATGGATATGTATAACTTTCTGGCATCAAAGTGCTTGGAGTTCTTGCCTACCAGGGACCACAAGCCAGAACCTGGCCCCCTCAGAGAGGCACGAGGAGCAATGGCCTATAGAAATCCCCCCCTGTGGTTGGGAGCACTCTATGTCTGCCATCGACTGGGATAGGCACCCAGAAAGGTAGGCGCCCCAAAACAAACCCCTATTCTATTGAAAATATTGCTACTGAAAGCTGAACAAGCGGACAGAACTACGCAAACAAAATGATCAAACTAGCATGAAGTCATCATGTAGCCATACTGCCGTTTGCGCAACCCCCCCCTCCCCGGGAGGGGTAAGGGAGAGCCCCAGACCATCCGCGCTGGCGATCCAACTGGCAGTTCTTAGGCTGGATGTCAAAATACGCAAAAAAAGCAACATTAAATGTAATGAAATGCCATTTTCTGGGTGAGACCCGGAGGCTCCCAGGAGCTTACTAGGCTGATATGCTAATGTCAGATTTTGGCATCAGTCATGTGTATGAAGTTCTGTGGGTCTACCGGGGACCATGAGCCAGAACCTGGCCCCCTCAGAGAGGCAAAAGGAGCAATGGCCTATACAAACCCCCATGTGGTTGGAAGCATTCTATGTCTGCCATAGACCGGGTCAGGCACCCAGAAAGGTAAGCATCCCAAAACAAACCCCTATTCTGGTAAAAATATTGCTACCAAAAGCCGAACAAGTGGATAGAACTCCCCCTAAAAGAAACGAGCAAACGAGCATGACATCACACATCGTCGCGCCGCTGTCTGCGCAGCTCCCCCACCTTCCCTGGGAGGGGGAAGGTGGATCCCCAGACCCCCCATGCCGGCTATCCACCCATCAGTTCTGAGGCTGGATGTCAAAACACGTGAAAAAACGCTGACCGGAGAGCGGGAGGGATGCCGGGGAGCCTCCGGGTCTTACCCAGAAAATGGCGTTTCATTACATTCAAAGCTGGTTTTCTGTGGGGGAGCCTCTTTGGCTAACCAGAGCTAACTACCCACAGAGGAACAACATAGGGACTTACCCGGGAGGCGGTCGCTGCTCACACCTCAACTCGAAGTCGAGACAACTGGCTACAGCCGCCGATCCAAAGCGACACAGGCCTGACGAGGCCCAGGAATGTTCACTAGGTAACGAGCAGTCAGGACCCTGTTCGCCTGCCAAAAGCCCCGTGCCCGAATGTCAGCGCAAGACATGTTGCCAAAGACGGCAGCAAGAGCAGAGAACTTATGAACGTCATGGGCACGGGAATAGACTGCAGGCTGGCTAGCCTTAATAACTCTGCAGATGACCTGGGAGACACGCACCCGCGAACAGGGAAGAAGGGAAACCGGATACACCCAAAGCACGTCCCCAGACACAAAAGCCGTGGTGCGCAAAGTAACGGTGAAGAGCCGCAACCGGACACAAAACATGATGCACCCCCTCGGCCTGATCAACCAAACATCAACAACCCAGGCACCCCTAATGAAAGAACAAAACCATCATGAAGACCGAAGGAACAGAAACCCCAGCACTGGAGGAGAGCATGAAGCGTCCCAACCCGACTCCCAGAGGCCAATACCAACAGAAAAAGAGCCTTGGAGAAAATCCTGAACCGAAGGGGCCACAACAAACCGAGGAGAAGAAAAAAAAAGAGCACTCTGTCCAAAGACCAAGACGGCTCAGGCGACGCATGAGCAGGCCGGAGGTGAAACAATGCACGAGACAGCTTGCAAAACTGCGCAGATGTAACATCAATACCGAAAGCAAGCTGAAGCAGCTCCGCCAGCGCCGCACGATACGAGGCGACAGTGTTAGGCATAAGGTGACGGTCCTGGAACAACTTAAGAGAGAAAGGGCAACACCACCCGAAAAGAAAGCGAATCACAACCATGGAGACGTGAAAAGAACCAGAAGGACCACCAGGAAACTTCATTCTGCTGCCGAGACGAAGCCCGAAGGAGGAACACCAACAATGAAGCCACCTGATCACCATAGAGATGATGATAAACCCGAGTCAAAAAGACCATACCCGAAGACGTGAAGACTCGAGGAGAAGATCGAACCAGTCATGTGAAGCACTGGGCCGATCTGTTAGAAGAGGCGAAGCTGTGGAAAAACTTCCAGGTTCGGACACCGAACAAGCAGAACCTGAAACCACGGCTGGGCCGGCCACCACAGGGCCAAGAGGACTACTCTCCTCTGCTAGGTCTCCAAGCGAGTCAAGACCTGGAGCAACAGCTGAACTGGAGGAAAGAGGTACAGGAACCCCTACCTCGACCAGTCCTGCCGAAAGGCATCGACCCCAACGGCCTTGCAATCGTGGCAGGGCACCACATACTGGGGTAGGCGCCGCGACCATGCCGACACGTAGAGGTCCACCTCGGGGCGCCCGAACATCTGGCAGAGCCAACGGAAGGAGTCGGCGTTGACCGTCCATGCCGTGGAGAGGGGAATGAAACGAGATAGGCTGTCGGCCAAGATGTTGAACACTCCCCGCACATGAATAGCTAGAAGAGCCAAACACTGAGAACTCTAGACGAGTCACCCAAAGCGACCAGCGCCAAAGAGCCAAGGACCGCATCAAACTCCCCCTCGGTTCAGGCAATGAACCACCAAGGAGCAGTCTGAATGTAGCCAGATTGTCGATCCGCAGGCAACCCGAACCCTCCGAAGCGCAAACCACACCATCGCGAACTCCCGCACCGTGCTGTGGGCTCAAAGGAAGGACAGACCCCACCGCCCTTGGCCGGCCTGGTGAGCACTGGTCACAAAGCCCCAGCCAAGAGACGAAGCGTCCGTGAACACATCAAGCGAGGGCTTGGGTTGGGGCCAAGGCACTGAACCCCGAAAACTCGAAGAGGAAGCCAGCGACGCAGTAGCCGATGTAAAGCCCCCTGGGGTCAAACCCAGTGATCGCGAGAAAGGCGAAAGGGACATCCCCGAAGGAACCAGAACAGCCGACGAAACCAAACTCGACCCGGCGGGTAGACCATCATCGCAAAGTTCAGACTCCCGCACAAACCCTCGAGCAACCTCTGAGTGACCCGGGAGCCCCTTAGAAACAGGCACAAGTGGAACTGCAGCCGAAGGAGAGACTCCAAATGAAGAGATAAGGAAGCGGTTCGAGAGTCCCACACAAGACCCAGCCACAACCAAACCTGGGAGGGAACCAGATGGGACTGTCTCAAGTTCAACAAGAACACAAACCCAGCGAGCTGGGAAAGCATTAAATCCCTGGCTAGCAGACAACTGGACTGGCTGGGAGCCCAAATCACCCAGTCGTCGAGGTAGGCCAACACCCAAACACCTAACAGATGCAGACAAGCTATGACGACCCGCGTAAGGCGTGTGAACATGCGACGTGCCAGATTCATCCTGAACGGGAGACAACGAAAGCGGTAACCTTGATGTCCCACAACAAAACTGAGCCAGTCCCTGAAACCTGGATGAATCGAGACGTGCCAATAAACGTCCCGGAGGCCCAGGGACACCATCGAAGAACCCGGCTCCAACATTACCCAAGTGTAATTACCTAAGTGTAGTTACAGGATGAGAGCTACGCTCGTGGTGTCCCGTCTTCCCAGCACTCTGTCATATAACGCTTTGAAACTACTGACGGTCTTGGCCTCCACCACCTTCTCCCCTAACTTGTTCCAACCGTCTACCACTCTGTTTGCGAAAGTGAATTTTCTTATATTTCTTCAGCATCTGTGTTTAGCTAGTTTATATCTATGACCTCTTGTTCTTAAAGTTCCAGGTCTCAGGAAATCTTCCCTATCGATTTTATCAATTCCTGTTACTATTTTGTATGTAGTGATCATATCACCTCTTTTTCTTCTGTCTTCTAGTTTTGGCATATTTAATGCCTCTAACCTTTCCTCGTAGCTCTTGCCCTTCAGTTCTGGGAGCCACTTAGTAGCATGTCTTTGCACCTTTTCCAGTTAGTTGATGTGCTTCTTAAGATATGGGCACCACACAACTGCTGCATATTCAACCTTTTATTCTTTGACAGGAGTCGAACTTGAGACAGCGTCAGTGTCGTTCCCTTTAGTCAGCGAAAGGAGGGACAATGAACCCAGGGGTTCAGACAGGACAAGTCCAGAATGAACCTCAGGACTGCACAGTCCCGTTTCGGCATTGGAAACAGACGGGAAACCCATCTGAGGGATGACATCGTTTCGACGACGCCCAAGCGAACCCACTCCAAGGCGATCAATGGAGCGCAGGAGAGGAGGCCTGCCCCACCAGCCCCGAACCCTCCGAAGGAGGTGGGGCCACCAAACGCCACCACAGGCCGAAGGAAATGACCCGAAACGCCCACAAATCGTGGGACCAGGTGTGAGCAAACAGTGCAAGCCTCCCCACCATTGCCCCATCAATAGGGCGAACCACAAAAGGACTGGCGCCCCTTACGAGACCCAGAACCTCACACAGAGCGAACACTGCATCGACCAGACGAAGGAGGGTCCAAAGGCAGAGCCGAACCCGAAATTGGCGCCAGTGGCGTACCACAACGAGTGGAACCCTGAGCCCTGGCACGATCTCTCTGGGAAGGGCCGACCAGGACCGCCAGAGAACCAACAAGTCCGACATAAGACAGCAACTGGCCGAAGCAGCCTGAATATACTGCACCACGGCCGAAGAAGCAAAAAGCAAAGGACAAAAAGGAGAAGACATCCTAAGAGCCAGAGCCCAGGCCGATTCCAAGGAGGAGGCAAACACCGCCTGCTGACACGCGAACTGGGAAGCATAGAACAGGGAAACCGCATCCCGCAGGACTGGCGCAAACAGCTTCAGCAAGGCAGCCGACGAGCGGGCCGCCAAGCCCAAGGCACCGAACCCAGGAATGGATCCGAGCGTCCCTACATCCTCCACAAGCCAATCCGAAGACAGCTCCAGGATGGAAAAGAAACGCAAGGCCGAAGCCAAAAGGCCACGGGCGCGCATGTCCTCAGCAATCTGTGCAGTTGAGAGGGAGGTAACCTGCACATGGAGCTGCACCACGCCCACATCCCGAGGAAGGGCAGGGGCAAACAAGCACTCATTGAGGTGCTCCAGGTTGCTCCCCAAAAAAACCTAAACCACCGTTGCAGCCTCGTGCCACTAAAGCGTGCGGTTATGGTAGAAAGAATGCCAAGCCTCCAAAGCAAAGATAGGACAGTCCGCCAGCCAGGACGACTCTGGAACCTCGTAACGGACCCAGAAAGGGAACGAAGTCCCAAATCTGAAAGTAGACGGATCCATCACCAAGGCATAATTTGGGTCACGCAGGAGGTAAGCTGCATGGGCTGCCCACACCACAGAAGGTTGGACGCAAGAAGCCGAAAACCTCCGGAAGGACGGAACCGACGCACCCGGGAGGACACGGAACTGAATCCAGGGAGGGGCAGATACCAAATCCAATTCGTACGCAGAGGAGGGAAAAAAAGAGAACCCCACTCCTTGTAACAACAAGCCCCGCTCTGAGGGAGGAAAAACCTAGGCGGGGTCCAGTGGGATCTAAGGCTTCCCAAGTCAGCCCCTCCCCAGGATCCTCCTCCGCAGGACCCAGGGCCGAGTCATCTCCCAAAGCTCTGGCCTCAAAAGACAAGGCCGGAGCGGCTGCGTAAGCCGAACGAAAGGGGGCTCACTGGTCAGACCTGGTGGCTTCGGTAGGGAGACTAGATTCGAATGCCTCCATCGCCACACCAGAAGGGGCATCCACCGAAGGTGCCCGAGTTTCAAGACAATCTAAACCCTGTTCCGGCTCTGAAATCCTCTGACGCTTCGGGGCCGGAAGCAGGAAAGGGGGGCAGAACGTACCAAAGGAGGGGAAGGATGAGGGGGGCGGACTGAACCAAGGTTGAAGTGACCACCACCCCTAAGTCCGGATCCCTATAAGCAAAACGGGGCAGCCTTGGGGCATCCGGGTGAGCAACCAACCGAGCACATTGCAACAATCTAAAACGTGCATACAACACCTATGCCGCCTGTACCCGCATAAGAACATCACTAGACTGTGTAAATGAGTCACTATCAAGCAGCAGAACTCTCAGGACTCAGTTGGGTCGAAAATGTCACTGACCCAACAGGCAGCATGATGGATGCAAAAACAGTGAGGGTCACCCTGAGACAAGGGGACCAAACAACCCTCAAACTCGCACGAAGCGAGGGGGGACTCTGGGGTCACATCCATCGGACTCATGCGTCCCTAAGGGATTTCCCAGGGCCCTGGGCGCTTACCGAGACTAACGTCCAGGTAACCCCAGGCAGGGTACTGCTAACCGGCACCCAAAACTACCAAGCACTCTCACTAAAGCTGAACTCCAGGGACGTGTACACTCACGAGGACCTAGAAGGGGTTACCACCATCGAAGAACCATAATAGGTCTAGCACAAGTGGGCAATAAGCAGAGCAGATCCCCCCACAAAGGCAAGAAGAAAAAGAAAACTCAGCAAGAGGACAGCGTACCCTAGAAAAACAGAACCGGCTGCTATAATTGGTGAAAACAAGCTGCGCAGCATCCTGCGCCCCATACCAGTGTAAACTGCCTCTTACCCTAAGGTAAACAAGGGAGACAAAACACCCAAGTACCCAAAGGGCGGCCGAAAAACCGAGCAGTAAAACGGTCCAGCAGAGGCAGGACCCAAGGAACTTGTGGAAGGTAACCCCCAAACCCCAAGGGCAGTACTTACAGGGCACCTAGGGAAGGGAACCCTAAGTGCATGCAGCAAGAGTTCTGGAGAATAACTCCTGGCTCTCGCACCTCTAGAAGACAGCCACCACACTCAAAGCACAGTGCTGAAACTATCCCTGGAGCCAGAGCATATCCCGGAGCCTCTAGCATCAACCGAAGAACTGACGGGTGGATAGCCGGCGTGGGGGTCTGGGGCTTCCCCCTTCTCTCTCCCGGGGAGGGGGGAACTGCGCAGACAGAGGTGCGGCGATGTGTGACATCATGCTCGTTTGCTCATTTCTTTTAGGGTAGTTCTATCCACTTGTTCAGCTTTTGGTAACAATATTTTAACCAGAATAGGGGTTTGTTTTGGGATGCTTACCTTTCTGGGTCCTTGACCTGGTCGATGGCAGACATAGAATGCTTCCAACCACATGAGGGTGTCTATAGGCCATTGCTCCTTGTGCATCTCTGAGGGGGCCAGGTTCTGGCTCGTGGTCCCTGGTAGGCAAGAACTCCAAGCACTTTGACTGATGCCAGAAAGTTATACATATTCAGTCAGCCTGGATAGCTCCGGGAAGCCGACGAGGCTTCCCCCAGAAAAGGGAGAGGACAAGGGGACATTAGTGGAAGATAGACTTGCAACCGAGTCAAAGAGATGTAAGGAAGTTCTCATTCCCTGTATGGGTGGTCGGCAAATAAAATGCATTGAAGAAAGAGGTTGAAGAAGCCAATTCCATCCACAACATTAAAAACATACATAATGAAAATATTAATGCTGAGAAAGGTTATTAACACGCCAGGTATAAATGGTTAGGAGGCGTGGCATAAAGAGCTAGAATTCACTCCCCCATAGTCAATGATAAGTAAGTACAGGAATCAAAGGTCAAAGCAAGTAGTGGTAGTGACTGTGAGAGAAACCTCCAGTGAACAACAGAAGACCCAGACAGGAATATGGAAAGAACAACAGATATATAATAACTATTATTCAAGGAGCAACAACAAGTGCTCACAATGTGATTCGAGTAAAATGTCTTATCATAGCATGTTTAAAACAAGGATAAGAAGACTGGATGGCAAGAAACTTGTACAGATGCCTCAATGAATACAGTATTATGAAGGCAATACTCCACAAAAATGAACTTCCTATTCAAAGATGTCATAAAAAAAGAATGGAACCAAGAAAAGAGAACCCACCAACCACACTAGACCACACCTTCACCCAAGCAATATTACCCTAAACAAAGTCTTAAGAAAGATAATAATAAAAATAGACGTAGAGGACAAGTGTAAGAAAGATTTTCACATTATTATAGTACAATTTTATTACTTAACATTAGATTACTAGCTTATCGCTTACCCTCTCTTCCATTGTGCCATCAAAGTCGTATTCACCCCTTTCAAGCACATTGGCAATTCGGCAAATTTCGTTCTGAGTGCGTTGCAGTGACAGCCTGATGGATTCAGGACCTAAATCTTCTCCACCATAGATGAGATCTGTGGCCTGGTGTGCCAACTCCTTTAACTTGTCGCCAGTGATGCCATTATCAGAATCTAAAACAAACATAATATTTAATACAGTACAAAATTGGATAAAGTTATATGAAAGGCAAGACAGTTCGTCAAGGGATTTTAAAATCAACTTAAGAACATAAGAACAAAGGTAACTGCAGAAGCCCTACTGGCCCATACGAGGCAGCTCCTATTTAGAACTACCCAATCCCACTCATATACAGTGGGGCCTCGACTTACGATGGTAATCCGTTCCCAGAGATGGATTGTAAGTCGAAGTGATTTTTCTCATAAGAAATAAAGGGAATTGAATTAATCCGTTCCCCCATCCTCCAAAATATTAACTTACAAATACATTTTATACTGAATACAATTTTGTTCTCTAACTTCAATACAGTAAATATGCTTATCTTACCATTATGGAGGACTCTTGATGGCTTATGGCCATGGTGATGGTGATGAGGGGGGAGGAGAGGTGTTACTGTTTGGAAGGGGAGTCCCCTTCTATTATAACATCAGGCAGTGATGACTTTTCTGGGATACACTCTCTGGCCTGTTTTGCCTGCATACCACTAGGACCTGCTTGTGGCTCACTGCTTGCTTGTCTTACTAAGAATCTGTCTAAAAAGACGTGTTTCCCTACATTTTAACACTTGTCTGTGGTAAGACATCATATTGTCATTTAAAAGGTCAATGCAACTGCCTGCTACAGCTTTATCTGGGTGAGTTTTTTCAACAAAACTTTGCAATTCTTCCCATACTTCACACATTTTCTTAATGAGGAAGGGATATCCTCTACTGCCTCAACTCACAACTATTTTCTTAGGTTAAACCTTATCACTGACTTTCTGCGACCCATGGCATGGGTCGCAGAAAGTTCACACAGTTCACACAGTTTTAAGTTCAAAAAGCAAAAAAATCACCACAAAAACTGAATTTCTTATAGGCGTGATTGTCACTAAGCGGGCAGCTCTAGTAAACTGAGGCAGGTTGGCTCGCGTGACTGGGAGCCAAGCGCTCGGTCGACCCAAACGTGTACTAACAAATATCGTTAGTCGACAACACTATCGTAAGTCGAGTCACATTTTTCTATCAAATTTACATCGTAACTCGGGGCAATCGTAAGTCGAGGTGCCACTGTACATGTCCAACCCATGCTTGAAAAAATCGAGGGATCCCACCTCCACCATGGTATGCGGTAATTGGTTCCACAAATCAACAACCCTGTTACCGAACCAGTATTTACCCAAGTCTTTCCTAAATACAGTATAAACTTATCCAATTTATACCCATTGTTTCATGTTCTGTCTTGTGTTGATACTTTTAATACCCTATTAATATCCCCCTTTGTTATGACCCTTTATCCACTTGTAAACCTTTACCATGTCACCCCTAACTCTTTACCTTTCCAGTGAATGCAATTTAAGCTTTTTTAATCTCTCTTCATATGATAGGTTTCTAATTTGGGGAATTAACTTTGTCATCCTACGCTGGACAAGTTCAAGTGAATTTATATCCATTCTATAGTATGGCGACCAAAACTGAACTGCATAATCTAAATGGGGCCTACCCAGAGCAAGATATAGCTGAACAACAACAACAAGTGTCTTGTTACTAATACTTTGATTAATAAATCCCAGTGTCCTATTTGTCTTATTACGAACATTCACGCATTGATCCTTTGGTTTTAAATTCTTACTAATCATAACTCCCAGATGCCTTTCGCAATCTGACTTCGCAATATCAACATTATCCAGCTCATATCTTGTAACTCTATCATCATTACCTAGCCTCAGAACTTTACATTTATCAGCATTAAACTGGCTCTGCCAATCTTTTGACCATTTCAAAACCCTATTTAGATCGACTTGAAGTGATAGCGAGTCTTCTTCCGTGTTAATTTCCTTACCGATTTTTGTATCATTGGCAAATTTGCAAATGTTGTACTGAATCTAAATCATTTATATATATTATAAACAACAGAGGTCCCAGGACAGAGTCTTAAGGCACTCCACTTACAGCATTATCCCACTCTGACTTAACCCCATTTATACTAACTCTCTGTTTCCTTTGGAATAGCCATGCCCCTAATCCAACTTAATATTGCACCCCCAATACTATGAGCCTCTATCTTTTTAATCAGTCTTTCATGTGGTACGGTATCAAAAGCTTTGCTAAAGTCAAGGTACACAACATCACAATCCTTACCACTATCAACTGCCTCAACTATGCTGGAATAAAAAGATAGCAAATTTGTTAAATATGAACAACCATTTGTAAAACTATGTTTGCGACAAATTTATTAATTTATGTTTCTCAAGATGAAGACAAATTGTATTTGCAATTATCGATTCAAGTAATTTTCCCACAACAGACGTTAGGCTAATTGGCCGATAGTTTGACGAAAGTGATCTATCTCCTTTCTTAAAAATTGGTACCACATTAGCAACCTTCCATGACTTTGGCACTCTGCCTGACTCTCTTGATTTATTAAGTATGGTAGACAGTGGCTCACAAAGCTCCTCTTTGCATTCTTTAAGCACCCTGGCAAACACTTCATCCAGCCCTGGGGATTTGTTTGGTTTTAGTTTACTATTTGTTTAATTACATTCTCCCTAGTAACTGCTAAACTAGTCAACCTGTCCTCGTCCTCCACACACATAGACTTGTTCGGCTGAAGGCATATTGTTAAGTTCCTCTTTATTAAATACAGATATAAAATATTTATTAAAATACTACTCGTCTCCTCGTCATTATCCGTTAATGACATTATCCATTGTCTCAGTTTTTAATGGACCTATCCTTTCCCTAGTCTTTGTTCGATATAACTGAAAAAACCCTTTAGGATTTGTCTTTGCTTGCCCTGCTATGCGAACTTCATAGTTTCTTTTTGCTTTCCTTATCTCTTTTTTAACATTTCTAACCAGTTGTAAGAATTCTTATTCTAAACTGACTTCCTCATTCTAAATCCTTTTGTACCACGCTCTCTTTTTACCTGTAAGGTTCTTCAGATCCTTTGTTATTCACTTTGGGTCATTAGTATTTGATCTATTCAATTTGTATGGTATACTACGTTCCAGTGCTTTGCTTAGAATATTTTTAAATAAGTTATATTTTGAATCCACATCGAAATCCCTTTTACGTCACCTATCGCTGGGTTCACGTCTCGCTCCAAGACTGGCTCACCCCTCCATGCCCAAGACTTTCCAATCTATTTGACCACAAATTTTTTTTAAGGCTATTGAAATCATATTTTCGAAAATCTGGCACTTTAACAGAATTTTCTCCTACAGATCTATTCCATTCTATGCTAAATCTGATTTCTTTGTGATCACTAGTTCCCTAGCTCTCTCCCTATTTTGATGTCATTAATTTGTGTTTCCCTGTTAGTTAACACTAAATCTAAAATATTATTTTCCTTTTGGTTCCTTAATGTGATGGCTAAGAAAGCAATCGTCAATTAATTCTACAAAATCTTCTGCTTCGTTATTCCCTGTTCTGTTAAACCAATTTATTCCACAAAATTAAAGTCATCCATGACACAAATACTGCTAGACCTAGATGCTCTAGATATTTCATCCCATAGGTGCATTGCTTCCATCCTGTTTAAGTTTGGTGGCCTGTATATAACTCCTATTATAAGATTATTTGCTCTTTCGTTTAATGCTATCCAAAGAGATTGTGTGTGGCTCAGTTTTGATTCCCTCTTTGAGACTACATTTCAAATTTTCCCTAACACATATGGCTACTCTCCCTCCTCGTCTAATATATCTATCTGTGTAAAATAGTTTAAATCCATTTATTTGATATTCAGCTAATAGTTCTTTATTTTCTACATTCAGAATCCCAAACCCAACCTGACTTAACCCAAACCAACCTACCCTCACCTAACCAAACCTAATACAGCCTAACCTAAGCCAATACAGTACATCCTAATCTAACAATATGTAATTGAAACAAACAGAAAACAAGTTTCGTCAAATCATCTTGTGTATGATTTGACCATATCCCAAACAGTGTACAATATCACAGTTTCAAAAGAATGGGAAAGTTTCTCAGGATCAATATTCATTATTAATATGTCTCTTAATATGTCTCATAAGGTTATATGTAATAAGTGTTATCATGCTATATGCTCACAATATAGAATTACAGCTAAAACTTTTTAAATCAGACTAATAATTTTGTTATAGGCCTGTTCAACACGCTTCCACTACACATGAGGGACATAACTGGCCGACCCCTCACAGTGTTCAAGAGAGAACTTGATAAACACCTCCAAAGGAAACCTAATCAACCAGGCTGTGATTCATACGTCAGGCTGCGAGCAGCTACATCCAAGAGCCTTGTTGACCAGTCCAGCAGCGGCCTGGTCTAGGACCAGGCCGCAAGGACGCTAAGACCTGAAATCATCACAAGGTATGGTTGTTCAGTATAAAATTCTTAAAAAACCAGCATTGAATGTAATGAAACACCATTTTCTGGGTGAGCCCCAAAGGCTTCCTGGAGCTATCGGGCTCATATGCGATATATTAGACCGAGGCATCAGTCAATGGAGTTCAGCATATCGGGGACCATGAGCCAGAACTTGGGCCCCCCTCAGAGAGGCAAAGGAAGCAATGGCTTATAGAAACCCCCATGTGGTTGGGGCATTCCATGTCTGCCATCGACTGGGGTTGGCACCTAGAAAGGTAGGCATAACAAAAACTCCACTTGGTAAGAAAAAACCAGCATTGAATGTAATGAAATGCCATTTTTTGGATGAGTCCCGGAGGCTTCCCGGAGCTATCCATAGCCGATATGGATACCCTAACTATTTTGCATCAGTCCATGTGGGTGGAGTTCTAGGCCTACCGGGGACCACGAGCCAGAACCTGGCCCCCTCACAGGGGCACAAGGAGCAATGGCCCATAGAAATGCTCATGTGATTTGGAGCATTCTATATCTGCCATCGACCGGGACAGGCACCCAGGAAGGTAAAGCACCACAAAACAGACCCCTATTCTGGTTAACAATAAAAAAACATCAAACAAGTGGATAGA